TGCCTTTCACCTCCAGGAAAGTAAACTGTTGTCAGTGCTAGTAAATATGCAGCTAACATGCAGTATTAATTTGTTAGCAGTCAGCAGGGAATGCTAACAGCTGAGCAGTTGATGTAAGTGCACAAATGTATATATTTTTTTCCTTGTGGTTAGAAGTGAAAGGCATATAAACAATGATATAAGTATTTTATCCTGCTAAGTAAGTCTCGACATTCACATTGAGAAAAATTACATTTCACATTTTATCTCAAGATAACAAAGATGTTTTATTTCACTTTTTTAGTTTTAAACCTGTAGAATAAAATCCACTTGACGGGAGTGTGGAATGAAAAGTCTGATTATTTAAAAGCAAAAAGAGCTACACAGAGTTGATCCAAATACCCTAAGATCAATATTTACAGACAAACCAATATTTATTTTATATAAAATAAGTTCTACATGTTGTGCAATCCCTTCTATAGATTAATCATAATTCTAAGCACAGTCCTCAGTGTATGTGAAATGTATTTTTTCCATGACTTGGATATGTGCTGCGCTGCCTTATTCATCTTTTACAGTATTGGTAAGATTAACAAACGGCATCAGTTTCAGTCATTTCTATCTGCATCATACTGCAGTATTATATTGTTTCGGTAAGTACTTCTGTGTATAGACAATACATGTTATGAGCCATGATTGTTTTAAACCTAAATAAAGAATATTTAACTGACTGGCAGTGTTTTTACTCACAATAACAGAAAATAAGAAAAAATAATAATTTTCAACATTGCTTTCAAGTTAGAAACAATAAAGACAATTTGTGACCATGAGAGGAAAATTTAAAAAAAAAAATCCATCAGACAAAATGATACAGAATGAGACAAAATGGATGAAATGCACTGTCTTGCATAGTAAAGGATCTCCTCCAGCGAGCTGAGGAGAACCTGAATCTTGCCCTCCGCTCTGTTGTGATCTCTCTGATTATAAGGACGTCCTCTACAGCCCACGTTTGATTAGATGAGCTCCAATGAATACTCTGGATCTCAGCACTCTGTCGTGATTACAAAACATTTCAATGACATGCACTGATGAAACAAGATGGGTGACTTGTGTGCAATCAACAAATTCAATTGTCTCTTCCTCTGTGCTCCTGCTGCAAGTTGAAGAAGCTCTGTTTAAGCGCTAATCACAGTTCAAAATGATTTATACATGCAGCTATCTGTTATCTAAGAGGAGATGTTGCGTTTATGTCTGTGTGTTGACTACTCCCTCACATACAGCCATGTTTGTTGAGGAGCACAGGGAACTGGGCAGCGCTCTTAAATCAGCTGTCTCCTGTAAGTGGTCCTTCACTGCTTCTTTTGTCTGATTGCTTCTGTATGAGTCAATCACTTCAAGACATCAGACCCCTCTTCACAGTGACGGTGAATTCTTTGAATTTTAGATGTCGTCTTGCTGTCGTTCTCATCACGGAGCAAAATGCTGTTCCGAATCAAGAATCTGTTATTATATGCATAGACTTCCACTGAATATGCTCAGACAGACGCTAATTGAAGGAGAATTATTCTACTTTCCCAATTTGGTTTTGTCCCACTGAGAGAACAAATTACTGACTTTTCAAAAATCAATCCTTAAGTAAAAAGGGGGAATAGGACCCCAGTGTGTTATTCAGTGCTACCTATCCACACTGGTTTCTTGGAGGCGATTATTCATGATGGCCAAAGCCCCCACGCCACCAGAGAATCCATTCTGATGGCTGGAGCTCTGCCGCGGGCCCTGGTGAGCTGTTTCACTCAGCTGCTTCTGCAGCAGCGCCAGAGACACCTTATTAGACACCATGAATTCGTTGACTGAGATCATCTCTCCTGAAAGACGACGCCCGACGTACACCCCATCAGCCACCGGGCCTGCATCCGTCTCACTGTCACACACCGTCTCCTCCGAGCCATCCGTGTATCGGTGTCTTCCTGCAGGACAGTGGGATGAGACGGGCTGCACAGTGTTACGTTTCAAGTGTTTACGCCTGGGGTGTGCTGCCAGGGGCCTCTGGTTGTGATTTTTGTTTTGGAGGCAGGAGCAGCAGAGGCCCCAGCATCCAGGTGCAAAGCAAGAACAAGGCTGATGCTGCCCACAGCATAGAAGTTTACCCAGAATCCAATTTAGAGTTTGCTTGATGACAATAGAAATGACATTGAAAAGTGAGTAGATACAACATACTCCCATTAGGATGAAAAGGCAATTCCCCAGGCGGTAGGCTTCCTGAGACTCATACTGCTGTCTCTGGCTGCTCACCAGGTCCCCGAAGCCGATGGTGCTGAAAGCCACGAAGCAGAAGTAAAGGGAGTCCATGTAGCTCCAGTTCTCCATGGAACAATACAAGGTGGAAGCACTGCACGCAATCACAATTGATGCTACTCCCAGGATCAGCATAACGTAGTAGACCGATGGTTTCCAGCCCTCCAGGCTGTCCTCCTCACCTGACATCTCCTCCCTGCTTGACATCACCCTGACACCACCACATCTCAGCCGGCGCTCATGACACCATCGCATGATGTAAGCTAACATCGTGATGATCCTCTCCAAGAAGAGGTTAAAAAAGAGAATGGTGGCAGCACAGCCAATGAGACCGTAGAAGATCAAGAAGATTTTTCCAGATATGGTCGCTGGTGTGGTCATGCCAAAGCCTAAAGGAGACAAATGCAAAATAAAAGGTCATGGACAGGAGCATCTGAGAAGGATGAAGTTGTATAAAACTTTAAAAGTGATTGCTCACCAATAGTGGAGACCACGGTGCCGACAAAGTAGAACGCTCCAGAAAAGTCCCAGCGGGGCCTCAATGTGTCCACTCTGATCCCAGCTCCATTTGCCTCCTCGTATTGCCGCAGCAGAGTGTGGAGGGCGCCCAGGTTGACCCTGTACCTTTGGGTGAAGTTGTCCAGCTGATGCTTCCAGAGGCGGCGGGCACGCAGCTCAAAGGGATGCTCCAGGGCTGAGAAGATGGCCGCTCCACACAGCAAGTAGAGCAAGATGAGCCCGGCCAGAAGGCAGAAACGGGCGTTGTCTTCGTTCATGGGTGCTCTCGGGCAGCAGCAGCAGCCGCCAGCAGCAGCAGCCCTCCTCTGAGCCATGAGCACGGCAGCAGCAGCACAGATACACCGCTGCAACAACATGCACTGCCTCTGCTCGTGCTGCCGAGTCACAGACTCACAGTATGTGTCAGACACATCACCTGCTGCACTGACTGGATGAAACGCTTTTGGTTTATATACACAGCCATGCATCTGGCTCTACGATAAGATTAGGATTGAAAAACATCTCTTGGAGAAAAAAAAGAAGATGCATCTGCAGATAAGAAAAAGCAGCAAGATAAAAAAAAAACACGTATATTAGGAATAAGTTCACTAAAAT